TATAAAAAATATAGGCATTATACTAGACTATACACAATTATGTCTAAAGTCAACTTACATTAGAATAACGCTTCAATATGGTGAACTTGCTTGTAGTCAATGTTATATTTGGCATAAGTGGAGCTATAATGTGCTCAGCAAATAATACAATACTCATTAGTGCTTGCCATTTTGACCTGTATTAAGTATAAATAACACAAGAATGTATCTTTTACCATACCTTAAATCAAGAAGCAGCTCAGTACTAATATCATCATGTCCTTTTAAGTATAAGATAGTTTCAACTGCACTTTTGCTTGAATGAAAGTTTAATATGAAATAGTTGACTGCTTCATCATCTTTCCAATCAACTTTGTGAGGCAATATTTGATCAATGACACATTCCACAGCTTTAAAATGAAATACCTATAGAGTAACATTAGAAAAATAGTATACTGAATACATAAAGTGCATACTGTTTTTCCAGAGGATAACAGTTCTCTATCTTTCAAAATATTTGGCAATTCTGGCAATCCTTCAGACAGCTCAGCTAGCCAAAATATTTCTTGCTCTATTATACTATAGGCAAGATGAACAGCAGTTATTGTATTAATCAATGGAAAAGGTTCTTCTGAAGCAGCCAGAGGTTCAAATATAATCACTATTTCTCTCAAGACTTTGAACAATATCTGTAAAAAGTATAATTACCAATTTACCATTGTAAGATTAAATTGTTTTACTTCATGAACACTCTCTATTGCTTCTTCACTAAATGGTAGTACTAAATTTTTAATAAAATCATGAAGATAGCAATTATAAAACAACAATGCATCCTCAGAAGGAAGTTTTTCCACATGTTTTACAAATGCTTGATTTGTTGTTGATTCAACCAGGTCTTGAAAAGTTTTCTGTTTGTCTCCTGTATTTAGATTATTTAATAGTTATAGCTGTTAGAATAAATACCTTCATTGAGTCCACTTTTGTGAAGAACAGTGCCAAATGCCGCATTAACTTGATCAATTATTTCCCATGAAAATGGAAACTTACAGCTGTAGTTTCTTCCATTGATATTAATGGATGGAATTGTTGTTGTGGCAATTGTGTCGTAATCAAATGGTAAGAATGATGAGTTACTAAAAAGAGACACCCAAAGAATTTTGAGGCATCCATTGTCACTTTTCAGTAAATTTAAGTTGTTGTTCTTGTTGATGCATGAAATTATGTATGCTAGGATACGTTGCAATTGTGTATCAATAGCCTTTTTGATGGAGTTAACAAGAGTGAAGCTAGCTTGCAGCTTCGATCTATCCATTGCTGCATCAATAGCCCAATTGTTAGGATTGGGAAGGAGATCATCTCTTTGTTGAAGGAGATCTTCAATTCTCATAAGAAGGCAACTGGTAAAATTGACTGATACTAAAAGGATACAATAGTTAAAATCATTAATGCTCATACAAAAATTGCAATCACTAACCATCTTGTGTATTGAAATTATTTGATATTAACTGCAGCAATAACTCAATTACATATTCCATTTGCTGATATGTACCAACAGAAATGATCATAGACACGGAAACTTGAACATTGTCTCTGACCCTCTCACCAACATTAAACTCATCAGGTACTTCATCTTTCTTCTCAATAAGCATATGAAAGAATTTATGTAGTGGCTCAGAGATGGCACATTGGAGAACTTGCTTCACTCCAGAGTGGCATGTCAGTTCATCAATATGAGTACAAATCCAAGATCCACCTTGAAATGAAGCAAACGATGTGCCACCAGCTACTCGAGGTAGTTGAATTATAAATACAACATGAGTGACACCACTGATAGTTATTCTTTGTCCTTCGTCCATGAGGCGGTGCCTAGCACAAGCAATGAGATCAGTCTTTTTTTCTCCATATTCACATTGAACAATGAGTAGCTTTTTTTCTTCATACTCTGATGCATAGACCGTTCTATACAGAAGAAAAAGTTTTAAAATGCTAAGCTATTCCATTTGAGCATGACACAGCAGCTTGTATATTTTAATTTTTACTTTATGTCATTTGAAAAATCCATCTCAGTATGAAAGTCTGAAAGTTGGAATATTTTGATGCTATTTATACCAAGTCCTTGTGCCAGTGTAGCAATGTAATTTTGAGTCAATAGCGGCCCAAAAGTTGTAATCTGCAAAAATAAATGATTTAAATAAGATTCAAAGTGCTCAATATACTTGTATCATAGCACCATCTTCTCCTGATTTCTCAATGGCACTGAAAAGGAACTGTATCATTGAAAAATGTTGCTGCTCCTCAAAAAAAACCCTAAAAGCCCAATCTTTTGTCATTGTATCACATTTGGCACTGTTTGATTTCAGGCGAGTTACTGCATCAATTGAAGCTGTTTGAAGGAGAAAAGCAATGCTGTCATTATATACCTAATTCAAAATAAAAGCTTTCCTTGGTCATATAGATTATAATACCTCTTTTTCATCTTGTTCCTTAATATTACTAACATGGAGAACAACAGAGGATGGGGTATCTTCTTGAAAACCAACAAAAGAATCTGATGCAAGAAATCTATGCATACAGTATAAAAATTGAATTGCTATAAAAACTAATTAACCTTTTTCCATTGTGTTCAACATTAGCAAATTCATCTACCCATTTTCTAATCTTTTTTGCTAGCACCTTTTGCTGGGGTGTTAAAATAGTATTGGACACTACAAAGTGTTTCTCTAAACGATTGATGAGTGCTGCTGGGAACTGTTTGAAGACACGATCTCTTTCAGCTATAATAATGAGACGGAAATTAGGATCAACACGACATTTTATTCTGTATGATCGTAATCCAAGATCAACATAGCGCCCTGTAGGCAGCTCTGTGTAACACTGGTTAAGGACATCATAGAGACTTTCGTAGATTTGTTCATAATTCAATAATACAACTGGAATACCTTTCTCCATACAAACTTTGATTTTGTTGATGTTAACACAAACTTGAGTGTATTCCGTATCTTTTGGAAAGCTACTACCATAAAACACAAATAACTTTTCATCTTTTGTCAATAGTTTATTCTGAAGAATTTGCAGAGCAGATTGATTTTCTGTAATGTATAATAAGTAGCGATTTTCCTGCTTTGGCAAATCTTCATTGGTTTGAATTTTTAGTGGTTGGACACTTTCTTTGACAATTTCAAGAGCTTCACTTTCCGTTCCTTTCATTTCTATAAGTAAGTCAGGATTAGGTAGTTCTTCCAGCGGATCGATTTTGGTGTGCCCACTGAAGTTACGCAATATAATACGTCGATAATCTTCAGAACTTGGTGGTGCATCCTTGTCTATGCATTTCCAGCATATCATTTTAATCAATGTATAAAAATCTCTCAATCCAAAAAATTCTCGAGCTTCATCTTTGTCACTGTTTTCACCTTCTTCTTGTTTGACACAAATCTTTTGGTACATTTCAGCTAATGCATCAAATGATTTTGTCAATTCGCTTCTCAAATTATCATCTTTTACCATGTTAGCAATCCCATATGCACTCTTAATTAGTTCCTGTGGTTCAGGTGGGCATCTAGTAACCATAATACCTCTGTTCATTTTAGCTGGATCAAGGGCCCAGTTAGAAATGCCTATAAAAGCTACTCTTTCTTCTGGTTTTATATCCATTGCATAAGGATCAGCTCCAGAAGTACCATCCTCAAGATATGGATGCAATACTTTCAGTGGGAGGCCAGGAGCATCCTCTGCTAAACCGATTTCCTCCAAAACAACTACTGAAGCAAATTTAGCAGTATCTTGACTTTTTTGAAAGTTCATTGCTTCCTCAAAAACATCAATCAGTGATTTGGTAGTAGAGAATTGATTACATTGGTAAGGAAAGATTTGAACTTGTTTTAGATGTTGCAGAAGCTCATTAGAAGAGTACCTTCCTTGCATGGAATTACTAACTATTGACTTTGCCAATGACTTAGAGCTACCTGGTTTACCAACAATGAATAATGGCAGTCTGTTTTCAATACAAACAACCATCATAAATATGTTTTCACGTAAGGCAGCATTATGAGCAATATTACTGGGAATATTCATAGCAATGAGGAATACATTTTGAATTCTAACAATAATTGTCAAGTAAAGATAAAACATTACTATTATTTACCTGTTAATTTCATTGACAAAGAAAGAGATATTTTCTTGATCAGTTGATCCTGGAAGTTTATATTCATTTATAAAACATTTAATTATTCTCTCAAGAAAAGGTTCCCGATCAGTAAGTCTGGCATAATAGCACACACTTACAGAATAAATTAAAGCGCGTGTGATGTCATTTAACTCCTATTAATATCACACTTAGTAATAAAAAGCAATATTGTGTAATACAACACCTGGTAATTATCTTGATCAATAGTTTCATCATTTAGAATTTGTTCTGTCAGCTTCTTTTTGATGATATCAACACTACACAATTTCTCCAGAAACCACTTAAAAAGAATCATTGCTCGAACAACATCTCTTAAACTGACATATTTGCACTCATTCTATGTAGAAAGTTTTAATATAACTTCAACTTTTTTCAATTAAAAAAATAAATTTTTTTACTTTTTGTTCTCTCATAAAAGCTTGACATTCACAAAGAACATGTTCCACAAATGTCTGGATAGCTTCAAGTTGAGAGGATATGCATTTACATCCAGAAAGCTATTGTATTTGTATACGAATGTAACAATTAACACTCATATGTTCATAAATATACCTGATTCTTGACTATTTTTTCAATATATTCATTTTCAGTTTTTCCAGTGACAGTACCAAAGTCATAAACATAGCGATACATGCTTTCTGGAAGAGGAAGAACTCGATACACTAGTTTACGTAGTGGAAGTTGACCTAATTGAGGAATTATGCATGGTATAACATTTTATTGACAAACCTAATTTTGGAGTTTTTTCTCCATCTTTTAAGTAAAATCCCAGTCCAGCTTTTTGTAAACTTTTTATAGTTTCATCATCATGTCTATAGAAATACTAAATACCTTTAATTTTTATAATAATTTACATCCTATATGGGTTGCAAGCAGCAGCAAACTTGAGCTCTTCAGGAATAACTGCTTTGCCATTCAAAGTTCTGTCACATATAACTTCTTTGATTAATCCCAGTGCTTCTGTAGTGTTGACTTCATCAAAGAACAAAACAGTATAGTTACACTTTCCTTTGTTTTCTATTGCTAGTTTGGCAGCTGATTCAACTTCAGAATAAATACGATCTGCATTAATACCACCATGAACCTAAATAAATTGGTTCGGCAATGATGTAAACTAGACACTGATCAAACCTTTAAACATATCAATGTCTTAGATTTAAATGCTTTGTCTTGCATTTCACACAAATATCTTAAAAGTCTTGTTTTGCCACATCCAGTTTCACCAATCATAATGACAGGAATACCACACCTTTGATACATGTATGTGTAATTCATAGTCTTAAAAAGAAGGGAGCATTTACCTGAATTTCATGTGTATGGCTAGCATTTTCATTAAATTATCAACAGTCAGTACATATGTACTATCTGAGTCTATTTTTTCTAGGTCAAGTTCATTTCCTTTCTTAATTTCTGGAATACCCAAAACTCTGATTAATTTGAGGATCATCTTTTGCCTAGTAAACACAGTTAAATATGATTTCCTTCATTTACAATCAAATTACTTGTCCCAGCTTCTGTAGTCTTCTTGAAAGCACACAGCATTATGATGCAACACATTTCTCAATGTTTTGTCCATGAATTTGTGTTCAATGACTTGCTTATTATTGTAATCTAATAAATTACCATCCTCATCAACCCATAGACCCAAAAATGTCATAGTGTATCCATCTTGGTTAAAGAACAGATATGGATGAGAGCTAAAATAAGTTCATATGTTAATACTAGTAAAACTCTGAATTATACCATGCATCCCATTTTTTAGAGATATCATCATTTTGACTTTTGACGGAATCACTAATTGAAGGTTCTGTAAATTCCTGGAAAAAGTAAATGAAAATTTTCTGCAAAATTTATGTACATACTTTAGCCATTAAAATAGAAAATTTCACAATAAATTTTTTAAACCCTTTAAAATCATCAACAGAACAATATGGCGATTGCTCACAATCATACAAATGTGCATTTAGGAACTGTATAAAGTTTCTGATATCTGACCATGATGGCTCAATAGATTTACTTAAAGTATATCTGTATTGATATAAAAGAAAGTGATTAAGGCATACAGTTATAGTAGTTTCTTACTCCAATAGACATTCTAAACACTCCTTTCCTGTCCCTTCAGGTTTTTTTAAATGTGTCAATTTAAACTGATCCAAATCCTGATTAGCTTTCATTCTTCTTAAGTACTGATAAACACGCTGTACACTTTCCTCCTTAAATACATGTTCATCCATCGAAACAAACAAATCTATTAAAATGAATTTATTAAGGTGACACTTGCAAGGTAATATTATACTTGATTTTGGATTATCTTGCACTTTGTTAGGCAATTCACAGATAGTTTGAGGAAAATATGACAACAAGGAGTATACACTGGGTAAAACTTCCTATTGTAACAAAAAATTGAATTAAAGTATAAATCTATCAAAAATTATTTTACTAACTTCTGATGGCATATCGTCTGAACTTTCTAAATCTAACTTGGTTAAAGTGCACTCTACAACACAAACTTGTTTTTCTACTCTTCTCCAAATGTTACCATGCTCATCATCCAATCCTCCTAGTACGATAATTTTAAACAATAGCCAGTCAATTTGTTCAATCATCTATTAAATAAAAAGAAATAAAAATATAAAATGTAAAAAATTACATCTTGTGCTATGTTGAAGTGTATCAGTTGTGGATAAGCATCAGTAGGATCTTGTTTGCATTCTTCCATCAATTCCAGGACATGACGGACTGAAACTTCAGGACCATGGATAGGAACATTAACATAACTTGGTTTTTCGGAACTGTTAATGGTAGTGATCATTTCAGCCATTCTTTTCACACGAAGAGTTTTCCCCATACCAGTACATCTTGATGCAACAATATGAACATTTTTATTCAATGATATCAAAGTTTGTCTATTAATTTACGCAACAATAAAGAATATTGTTATTATACCTAACCTTTCTTGATCAGATGATGCTTTAATATCACTTGATACTTGTAGATCAATATGAGCAGAAATGTACTTGGCTATATCATCATCAGATGGCAATTTTGGAAATTTTCTTAAGTAAAGACTCAATCTTGATGCCAAATGATTTCTAGCTTGGTCTTTTGCATTGATCAGTACAACAATTCTAAAATCTTTAAAAATTATAATATCTTAATATTAGTAATATGCTATAAAAATACTTTTTGATCCTTGTATTATTACTTCTAGATTATCTAGTGCCTTCTCAGAAACACTAAATGGTAGCTGGTCAGCATTAACAAGGCAAAATAATCTCTTCTTTTCTTCATCATTGACTGCACGATGCCATAATAAAGTTACCTATGCATGATTTTAAATCTTATCTGTTAATGTGATAAATTTACTTCTTCAACTGTGGTATCTCTAGTGCATATCAGAACTTCTTCATGTGTGGGTAGAGGCTTTTTTTGATCAGCCATATACAGAAATAAAAGTGCTTTCCATGTAGATGCTGAAATTAATGTACAATTGTGGAAGTAAATGAAAAATAATTATTACCATATTATAAAATGCATAACATACCTGCATCAATAGCAAGTAAATTTATTTTTCCTTCTTCCACCAATGTGCTATGTACATGCCTCTTTTCAAAGCTTACAGAAACCTCTTGATATGCCAATTCTTTAAGAAATTCTCCAAGTTCAACAAAGTCTAGGTATTCTCCTTTTTCTACCTCCATTTTTACAGATAAGGGAACCTGAGAATATTTAGTAGCACTCCTATAATAAAAATTTTTGTGCAAAAAGTTTATTAATTTTAATATTTTACCATTCATGCTCATTATTTGTGGGATTAGCTTCAGTATACCTTCCCACATGTAGATCAGAGGCAATTTCTCTTGCTATTTGAAGATTTTGTTTTGCTTTTCGAACTGCTTCAATAGCAATTTCTAAGCTATATTCTTCCTCAAGGAGCTCCAATACCAAAGGGTTATCTTCACTTATTGCATCTTCCTCATCAGTGTCCACATTCATTATTGTTGATAGTTCAACATCTTCTTCATCTTTATATTTATGTTCATTTTCTTCGCACCATTCACGTACTTCATCTTCATCAGCATCTTCTTCCAATTCTGAGAAAGCAGCCAATATTAAAGAGATTTTGAATTCATAATCATCACGTAGGGCTTTTAATACTTCTTTTCTTTCATCACTTAGTGAACCAAGATCAAATGCAGGTAGTGCAGATTTATTAGCAAAAATATTTCTATTCTGAGCTGGCATTCCTAATGGTGTCATATTTTTATTCATCGTTTTGACTGCATTATGTAAAGATGACAAAATGTGGTCATTAGATGGATTTGGAGTGACTGATAGCAGCAGCTGCTTTAATGAATGAGATGCTACAGATTCTGGATTCTTTTTTAATTTTCCAAGTTCTTTTCGAAGATCCAACAACTGCTGAGATGTGTAGTAGTTTAAATGAGGGTATTGCTTTCTGTATTTTTCAACACTTTTCTGCCAATTTTTTAAATCTTTATCCATTGAATCAATTGTTGCATCGAAATCAGATTTTTTGTACTCACTACATCCACACACTAAATGAAAATGAGTGTAATCCATCAGGCCAGCTTCTTGTAGTTGTATCAATAAAAGAGCTATTCCTTCAATTTTTGAAAGTGTCTAAACAAAAATTAGAGCAATAGATATCAATCTGAACTAACCTCAATAAATTTATTGACTTTATCAGCATTTTCGGCAGCAACCAAAACTAATTTGCTTTGCAATTCTCTAAGGTCATCTAGTCGAAAGATTTTTTGCTGCTCTGTTTGATCCTGAGCCAATCTCATTCTCAAACAAACTGCATCATCAGGAGAATGAATAATTCTTCCTGGAATAGCTTCAATGTAGTAGATTCCTCTTGTGTTAATGGAATCCATTTGCTCTACGTTACTTTTTTGAAAATCAGATAGCGATTCCTCCACTCTTTTCAACTCTCCAAGTCGAGCAGTACAAGAAGCCTATAAAATGAAATATTAGATTTAACCAACACATTAATCATTAGTATGTTTACTGTTATTTTCATTAAGTTTTGGCGTTCATCAATTAATGGCCACATGGCTTTACAACGGTTGATTAAGGCTTCACAGCTTTCTTTTTGATCAACTTCATAAATCAAAGGAGCAAATGCACTTCCAAATTTTAGAAGGTCTTGTAGAAGTTGCTTTACCAAATCGCCATCCATAGTTTGATTAGCAACTTGAACAACATTCTGTAATTGACCAAGATCTATAAAAATATAGCCACAAATGAAGTTAAGTTACAATTTAGCCATACTTACTTAATGCTACACTCCTGACCCATTCTACTAAGCTCATGCAAGAACAAAAAGTCTCTAGACAAGCTCTGCGATGTGGAACATCAGCAATATCTTTAAGAATATCAGCTGTTTCAGCTGCAGTACTCTCAACAGTTGCAAGAGTGACATCATCAGCATTTTCAAGACCCTAATGGTAGAATATTTGTTCTAATTATTAATCTGGTGTTTTTTACCTCTTTAGGCAATAATGCTTCTATAGCATTGAAGTCTCCAGTCAACCCTAAAGTTTTTTTTAGCTGCATCAATGTTTGAGCAGAATATGAGTACCGGCACAACTCTTGATAATCTAAAATTTTTTGGGCAGCATCTCTAATCCAGTTTTCATCAGGCTCATTAACAGCACAACACCACTTCTTTAATTCTTTATTTAGTGTCACTTTGTCTGATATGTCATTAAAAAGATACTCAACCTTTTTTAATGGCAATTGCAATCCATTATGAAGCAGACCCAGATCTTTTTTAAATTCTTTAAACATTGGCCTCCACAACTCCTCTACTGCATCTTTGAAATTTGAAGTGGAATTTTTGTGTTTTAAAAGGTATTCACCCTTCCACTTAAGAAACACTTTAGCAAAAACTTTTGAAGATATCTCTTCATGATTAGTTAAACGAAACACTTCTTCAATGACTTCTTGAGGTATATCAATGTGGCAAAATTTATATGTTACTTCATCTCCAATGTATTGCCAAAGTAAGTTAACAGGAGTCCTGGTATAATCATTTTTCAATTCTTGCTTTATTCTTGTTGCCTCTTCTGTTGTGAAAAAAAACATAATTATATCTAATAAAATTGATAAACTGACAAACCTTCAGAAAATTCACTGAAAGTATGAGCAAAATGTTGTAATTTTTTGTTTCTTTCTGTAAAGGACTTGTAAGATCTTATTTCTTTCTCAAGTTCTTTTGCTGTTACTTTAAAATCACTAAACATCCTCAATAAAAGAAAATCCTTGACTATTTCAAGTGTTTTGGGAATCTCTCCTGCATTTTGAATATCTTCTATTTGACTGGGCGTTATCTGTCGGGATGCTAAATCTTTAAAAAAATTATGAAGATAATTTCTGGCCTGTTCACACAAAGAACGGCCAATCTGTTCCTCCTGAGTTGAAAGAGGTCCAGTACTAACAAGAATAGTTTCTAAAAATTAGTACACAAATATCAAGAATTTATATTAATGCACATCTACCATAATATATCTCCATTGTAATTACCCATGAAGTTGTAAATAATGATGCAAAAGAAACAATGAACGTTGGGTACATTGATGAAAGTATAGCTCCTAAAATTTGACTGACTTCAGTGGGTGAGCCTCCTTTAAGAGAAGCTAAAACTTCGGATGACTCTTTATCCTAGTAAAAAAAATAATATGTAAAGCAATGAATGACCAAACCAACTTCAATATCTTTTACAGATTGTAAGATGCTATTTAGTAATGCAGACGTAACCTCTGGATGCAAGTCACTGGTGGATAAAATATTTGTCTTTTTTTCAATATCAATCTGCAAAAACTATATATTAGCTTTCACATAAGATATACTAACTTACTTTACTCAAACGCTGAGATAGCACTGAATTGCATGTTGTAATAAAATTTTTCTGGGAAAATGAATAAATACTACTCCAATCCTACAATCAAAACAAATAAAAATATTTATTAATGATAACTATTTCTTACACCAAGTTCTAGCATAATTTCTCCTAGAAGTAAATTCTGTCCATGGGCTATCTCCATCCACCTAAATATTAATCCACTCAACTGTTTCATTGATGTTTCCAAAAAACCCTGATCATCTAGCGCTTGAAATTTATCAAGTACAGTAAGGAAGAGTTGAACTGAAGCTCTGAATAGAGTGGAGTCCGCGATACTTTCATTTACGAATTTGCGGACAATTTTGTTGGCCCCTTTAAAACAAAGTTTTATCTCTTCTTTGGAACAATCTCTAAAAAATATTAACAAATTTATAATTGGTATAAATAAGAATTTTACAATTGTCTTAAAGGATTAATCAAACACTGAAGTCCTCTAGTAAGCTCCTCAATCTATCAAAAAAATTTTTAACTAGTATGCCTTATTTTTGTTATTACTTCATCATTTTCTGTAAAAGCAATTTCATCAAGACATATATATCCAACTTTCCAGCAAATGAGTGGCACCATTTCAGGATAATCTCGACTATAAATAAACATATCTTTATATGGGCAAAGCAGTACAAATGCTCGAGACATTAACCAATCATGTTTAAAATACGGTTGAATTATACTCAACGCAAACCTGTTGAAATAAAAATACAATGAACTAAATACATATATCTACCTCGATTCATTTGGGTAAAAATCCTTTACTTGAATGCCACAAAACACATTCTTGAAATCGCATATTCCTTTCACCTTATCAGTAGCGTTGAACAGTTTGTATGGCTTTCCAAAACTAAATCCATAAAGTTTGATGGCATGAAGTAAAGGTAAAATGCCAATCCATTCATGACCTTTCTTTAATATGAAACTATTGCACAAGCTAATAACAACTGGGCAAATTATATTATTCCTAAAAATATAATTAATTCATGCACTTTAAGAATAATGGCATTGTTATACCTAAATTCAGGACTAAACTTAGAAAGTATTGAAGTGCCTTTAGGGAATTCAGATTCAGGAAGATGAAGGCTTTTTGCCAAATTTTTACTAAAATTTTCATCAGTGTGAAAATTTCTTTCAGAAAAGAAATTCAAAAAAAAAAGTAAATCAACAACTATCAGACCACTAAGAAACTTATCCAAATTATTGCTTCCTTTTAAATGGGATGATAATTTTTCCAGCAAAATCTAATATTAGATTATAATATAAGCATATAACTAGGAGTTTCATACCTTAAATGCACTGGAAGAAACTGATTGTTCTTCATAAAGTTGTGTCACTTTCCCTTTTAAGAAACCAAGAGGATGGCATAAATTGTTGAAAATTTGTGAAATTTTTTTTGTATTTTCACTAATATCTGCCTCAACTGCATCAGAATTAATACATATCCATCCTTCTATAATAGCCCAATCAATGTAGAGAGAAAGAGCATTTGAAACAGCTTCAGAATATGGTTTTTTTGTAAAAAACTTGTAAACAAAATTACTAGCACTTGGTTTTATTTCTGCATCATATTGAATATGGGCACCTTTAAATTAAATTGTAAATGTCATTGAATATAATTTTTAGTAGTTACCTTTCTTTAAAACTCTATAAGAATAATCTAAGTTTTCAAATTGTGTTTCACCATTTTTCAAAATTACTACATATTTGTAGCGAAAATATTGTGCATTCCACATGCATGCATCAGGAATAAACAATGTACAGCTATAGAGCCTGACATTTCCAAATTGAAGATCACTGTGAGATTTAAATTTAGCAATAATAATGACCTGTTAATTATCACTTACCATTTAAAGGAATAAGAAAGAGGCTGCCCATTGTTGACTTCTTGTGAAGTCAATGTAAGTTTGAATTGATCTTCCTTTTCAAGACTCCATGCAGACACATCCAGAACAACTTGAAATTTTATTTCCTCTTGTTGTGCATTAACTCTAAAACAAAAATAAAAATAATTGTATAGCACTGGCCTTAATACCTGGTCTTAGATATAATAAGTGCTGAGTTTTTTTCAGGAAACCCTACAAGTTTACCTGAAGACACATTTATTTAATTTCACAAAAATAACATTTTATTACTTTCAATTTCTTCTGCAACAGTTGTCTCACCAATTGTTCTTAAAGCAGATAAAAAGGTATCCCAAGTATATGGGACTGGTATGTCTTTTTTCCATTTTCTCATCAAAGCATCAAAAGATTTTTTCTCATTGACCTTAAGTTGCTCACCTAGATCTTTGCACCTTTTTCCTAATGTTTTAGAATATTTCTTGAGTGCATCAAGTGCCGGTGGATAACTTAAGACAGGTTTTTTTCCTAAAGCATTGCACTTCTGATAATATAGTAGATTTTTCTACTTACCAGAAATTAAAGGAACTTGTTCTTCTCCTACTACTGTGAATTCTGTTTCATCAGCTGCTGTTTCTTCTATGCTGCCATGCCGTTTTGACTTCCATTGCTTTTGATTTGCTGATGTTGTCTTCTCACTGCTTGGTATTACAGAAGATTCATTACTTTTCTTTCTTTTAAGTTTATTTTCTTTTTCTAACAGCTCGTCATTTTCATTTTGACTTGATTCTGAGTCACACAAATCCTCTTCCACTTCTGAATTATCTGAACTTAGCTTTTCTTCTACATTATGCTCATTAATAACTATACTTAATGGTTGTTCCTTACGAGATTTATCTTCATGTTGTTCTTGCTTATTTTCTTCTAATGTTTGATTTTTTGCAGCTTCACTTTGACCTTTGGCGTCTTCAAGCTTATCTTCTTCCAATGTTGGGTTTTCTGCAGAATCACTTTGACCTTTGTCATCTTCATGTTGTCCTTGCTTATTTTGTCCTGATGCTTGATTTTCTGCAGCTTCACTTCGACCTTTGGCATCTTCAAGCTTATCTTCTTCCAATGTTTGGTTTTCTGCAGCTTCACTTTGATCTTTGTCATCTTCATGTTGCCCATGCTTATCTTCTTCTAATGTTTGATTTTCAGCTTGACCTTGACCTTTGCAATTTGCCCTTTGTTGTTCTTGACCTTCTCCTGGATCAGGTTTAGAAGCTAATTCTTCTGACTTCTTTTGCATATCTCCATTTTTATCTTTCCTCAACTCATCTAAAATGAATTGTAAAACAAGAAGTTGCAATATCATTTTAACCCTTCTTTGTTAATAAAATTCTCCTTACCAGCATTTGTGAATCTAGCAGATTCAGCAGCTTCCTTTTCTCCTTCTAAATTTTCCAAACCTTGCTCTCCTTCTACTTTCTGCTTGCTGCATTTTATTTGAGATCCGTCTTCACTCTGTTCTTGCTTATTTCTTTTAGATGTCTCTTGTTCATCTGCAATTTGAGGTGTTGCTTCATTGTGTTTTGATGCCAACTTTTCTTGCATATGTAAAAGCTCATCACCTTTAACTCCTCTCTTTTGCTTCATCTGCAATAATTCATCTAAAAAGTGAAGACATTGAAGTAAAACAACATATATTCTCGTACAAAATATGTTTCTTTTTTGTGTATGTTAGTCTAAAAATAACTGGATATAATATTTGAACTACAATGGAACCTCTAAATAACAGACACATTATTTTGCTTCCGTTCAAATTTTTTTACACGAGCTTGAACACAAATCTAATACTTAGGACTACTAATGTCCTACTTTAATTAGCACACAACAAAAGTTATAATACTCGGAAATTGTTAATCTACAGAAATGGATTTGGATCTCAGGATCAAGATCACATGTGCAGAAACACGCAAACACACCTATAGACATGGTCATGGTCAAAGATACAAAGTCATGACAATAGATATTATACTTACAAGTATATATAATCTATGATCAAACCATTTTCGAAGTAAACAGTAGTAGTCCACTTGGATAATGGTCTGGCTGCTATAAACAACCCCGAAAGTTACCCTAACACCTTCAACCTATGGAAAGGTGTTAGTCCATATCTATAGTTAAGCATGCATGTAGCTACCAGGAGTCTTGCCAAAAGGGGTATTAGAAATGAAAAGAAATGCCAAAACAAGAATCTCCAATGTAGTTAGGAGTCCCCTAGTTATGTTAGGAGTCCTCATGGTTGGGCTTAGGGTTTATAGTTCTTTTTTTTATTTTAGAGCATACCCTAGTCATGCTAGGAGTTCTACTTCTGTTAGGAGTCTCCTACTTTTGTTGTTGTTCTGGTTTCTTTCTGCTTCTGGCTTCACTTCATTTCTACTTTTACTAC